TACACTATTTGTGTATATGTGCATTCTTTTGCCCTTTTACATTTTGCACTTAAGAAAATGGTCATCTGAGTACAAAGAGAGCATTCTCATTCTCTTTTACAGTGGCATAGAGTGTAGATTTCCATTGTGTGGATCCATACCACAGTTTATTTTAGCCCAGACCTATCAATGTTTACTTGGCCAGTTCCCAATATTTTGCTGTGATAAACAGCACAATGCTGCATTTTTTATGTATGTAGGTATGTTTTTAGAAGAAACTCCTAGAAGCAGGATTGCTGAGTCCAAGGATAAGTGCATTTGTAATGTTGATAAATATTGCCAAATCACCCTCCATAGCATAGGCTTATCATTTTGCACCCCTACCAGCAATGGCTGAGAGTGCCTATTTCTCCACATTTTTGCCAGGGTATGTTGTCCCATCTTTGGCTTTTTCCCAATCTGATAGGTGAAAGTTATAGTTTAGTGTAGTTTTAAATTTTATTTCTTATGATGAGGGAGGCTTATCATTTTTTCATTTGTTAAGGCCATCTATGTTTGCTTTAATAAATCCTCTTTCTGCTGGAATTAGGAAGAGCTGTTTTCTGTTGCTACATATTGTGACATGGTTTGAAAACTTCTCTCTTGGAAGACAGAGTGTTTCTCCATGCATTTATTTTGACAGTGGTCCTTAAAGTACCTAAGTGGAGGAGCTGGATTCTACCCTAAGAATACTTCCCTCCAGAGATAGAAGAAAAGGAGTTAAACATGATTGTAGGCAGCCTCCACCTCTAGAATCAGATGTAGACTCCTTGACGTTACTCGGTTTTGCTGTTAAGTGCTTGAGCTGGGAATAAGCAATACAGCAACCTGTTGATACACCATTTTTAAAGTTCTAACTCTAAGTAATATTTCAATAATTCCAAACCACCCACAGATGTTACATTCTTGTGTCTTCCTCTTTGCTCTCTTCAATTCCTGTGTTCCTTGCATTCTTTCCCCCTTTTTTTGTTATTCCTGAGGTTGTCAATTAATATAACTTGAGGAGCAAGTGAGATTGATTAAATCATCAAAAGGTTCCTCTGTTCTGTAGCATTTCTTCTCATTCCCAGTGGATTCCAAAGACTTCAGCAACGTTTTTCAATTTAGCCTGACATTGGCATGTGGATTCCTCCTACTCAAAGTCTCAACTTGGAGGAAATCAAAACCGGGAGGAATCCATGCTATATGTCAGGACTGGAGGGAATTCTCCCGGCTTAAGAGGCCAACTCCAGGCAAGCAGGTTGACAAAATCACAGCACAAACCAAGCAGTGGACATCACTGAGACATTCAAACCAGCAGACAGGACTCAGCACCAGAAAGCCTAACCACAAACAATGCTGGTTACAACAGGGAGGCTCCAGCATATCTGCCCAGATATGGCAAGATCCCACCAGGGGTACGGGGTCTGGGAGGGAAGTGGGGAGTACAGGATATAGGAACTAGCACCAAGAAAGACTAGCAGGTCCTAATCTGGTGTTTGGGGCTAAGTCTCAGGACCACAAAGAATTATGTAAATAAACAGAAGAAGACTATTGATTGAGGTGTCAAGGAAAGTCCATCCTGCAGCCCAAGACAAATCTTTAGAAAGAAAAAAACTGCTGTCAAGAGTGACATGGAAACCTAAAATTCAGCCCACATTTTAATGCAGTCACTTTAACATGGCCTATAAAACAAACCATTAAAATTTCAGTCTTTAAAAAATTACCAAGCTATTTGGACAACAGATAGCCTCTCTTTTTCTCAGAGCGGGAAGTGAGTGAGGCTCAAGGTCAAGGTGAAGGGCAAGAGGGATGTGGGATGGGAGTTGAGAATGCCATGGCACACATTGCTCAGTAATTTTTTTTAAAAAAAGAAGCAGTACTTTGTTTTCAATTTTAGTGAAACACTTTGAAGAGAGCCATGTAAAAACATTCTGTTTCATGAGGAATCTCTCCAATGTCCTAGTGGCCAGGTCTGGTAGACCCTACAGAGACTTCCCAAAGCAGGTGTGGCACTTGGGAGCCCAAGGTCTGAGGCCAACACCCCAGGTTATAAAATGGCTGAATAGGATTATGCCCAACCTCACCAAATACACTATATCATCACGATCTCTTCAGAAAAAGGACAGTCCCAAGCCTGCATAGCAAAATTTACAAGTTTAGGCCCAAGAATTTTGTAAGGACAAACTTGAGAGATTAAAGGGAGAGGCTGATACCACCACTGCGAAACTCATAGACTATCTCTTTCCCACCAATGCAGGGCCAGCATCTGACCGCTGTGAGCAGCTGGTCTGGCTCAGTTAGGCCAGACCAGATTTCCTGTATGAGTCGTAAAGAAGCACAGTAAGTGATACTCTCTGGATTACAACAGCTCTTAGGGAACTTTTGTATAGGACAGTTTATTACATAAAATTATAACAGTCATCATAGAAAATGCTCACTTACTTAGCGTTTCTTTATTATTTTCTCACCTGGCTTTCATGATATATGTAAAAAGTCCAGATAAAGTATTTCCCAATGAAGGGGTGGGGGAGCCCTAACTGTTTAAACTGCCTTTACTCAGAATCTATATCACAGAAAGAATATAGATCTTGGTAAAGTATAAAAATAATAATTTATCTATTATACTGAGATGATTCAACTTGACTGGTTTTCTGTTTAGTTCTCTCTTGCTGCCTTTCTTTGGTATGCATGTTTTGTTCAGCCCCTCAAAGTATAAAACCTGTCTTTCTGACACAAGTAGGACCTTGTGCAGTAGCTACTGTCCCACTGCAGCCTGCCCCATGTCTCATTAGGGTTAGGCCTTTAGCAGCTGGGACTGTCAACTAGGATAAGCTCATGAAGTTTTGTTTATTTATTCTTCGTCTAAACCGTCTAATCCAAGCATTTGCAAACCAGCCATAACAGCAAGTGTCTGCAGACAATAATGAATTCATTTGCTATACTTTCCCCTTTGGTGGTACTGACATGTAATAGAATACCTGTCAGGACACTGTGACAGAATAGGAATTACAGGAATATTTTTGACAGGACACTAGTATTGTGTCTTGATAATTTATTGAAACCACCTGGTTTCAGATAGCCTACTCTGGATAATACTTGACTATTATTTTGAAATATTTCAACCCCACAGAAAAATGGAAGGAATAGTATAAAAGTCATCCATATACCTTTCTTCTAGATTACCCAATTTCAAACATTTTGTCACCTTAGTTTTATCTCACTCTCTCAATGTGTGTATGTGTATGGGTACACAAGTGTACATGTAGTACCATTTGAAAAACATTGCAGATGTTATGATACTTCACCCTAAATACTTCGTCACTGTTCTTTCAATAATAGGAACATTCTCCTACATAAGCACAATATTATTATTATACTCAAAATCTTTAACTTTGATACAATATCATCAGATACAAACTCTATGTTTAAACTTTTCTGATTGATCCAATAAAGCCTTTAAAGCTGTTTTTCTTTTTGTAATTACAGGATGCAATGGAAAATGACACATTGCATTTTGTTGCCACATCTTTCTAGTTTCCTTTCATCTAAAACAGTTCTTTGAATCATCCCCATGAGCTCATCGCCTTTTTGGTCTTTTATCATGTTGTCATTTTTGAAGAATCAGTTGTTTTGTAAAATGTTCTACAACCTGGATTTGCCTGATCATTTCCCTATGATTTAATTCAGGTTAAACATTTCTGGCAAGATTTTGATAACATTATACAAGTAATATTGAAAACAATACATCACATTAGGAGGCAGATAATGTCTCATTTTTTATGATGGTAAGTTTGATCATTTGGTTAAAAAGGGATCCGCCATATTTCATTATTTATTCACTTTCTTCCCTTTGTAATAAATAAAGTAATAAATGATACTTTGAGACGATGTGAATATTTTTCCCTGACAACTTTTCACCTATTGATTTATGCATCCATGAATGAGTCTTCCCTAAATTGACTAATATATTGTTGGTGACAAAATGATGATTTTTCTAATGCAATCATTTCTTCCATATGTATTAGTTGCCATTCTTTAGTAAAATAAAGTTTTTTCTTCACCCTCAACCATTTTAAAAAATCACCATGGAATTTAATGATTCCTTCAAAGTTCAATATGTTTTAATTCATGATTTTTATTATTCTCTTTGATGCTGATACCTTTCAATTGTGGTCAGGGGACCTGCTTAAATCTAGTAAAATTTATATTTCTACTATATTATTACATATTACAACTAATTACGGTAAGCAGTTATGCTGCATTAAAACCCTGATTTTTAATATCCACTTCATTATTCTTTTCTTTCTCACTTCACTTCATTATTCTTACAGAATTAGTAATATAATTCAAATGCCCCCAAGCACTCCACCTTATGAAATCATCCTTCTCATTGTTATTGAAACAAAATAACTGTGTTCACATCTCTGAAAATTGTAGAAAATTCAGCAGCATCCTTTATATTTTCAAAGGTTCAGGATAGTGAGGAAGAGTAGCAGTCTCCTCTGATTGCCTGTCTCCTTTCACAGCCAGCCCAAGTCCCCATCACTTCCAGCCAAGCCCATGGCACTTGTGCATGCGGCCATCTCCTGCAATATTTCCCCCAAGCATGGATTCTGCATCTTCTTCACTTTTCCAGGCTTTGCTGAAAACAGAGTTGTTACAATACCAAACAGGAAAGAGCTTAATAGTCTACATCAGATATCCTTGCTCAAGGAGGGGAGCATTCTCTAAATGAATTGCATTCATTTTCCTGTTCAGCCTACCATAGCTCCTTTCAACATCAGCCCCCTTCTCAGGCACCTGGCAAATCGAGTGACACAGTAAACACCACTCATGGCAAAGGCTAGAATCACTCAATAATTGCTGCTTAAGTGGTCAGTAACATCATTCTCCTCTTTGCCTCAACCATCCTACCCATGTTTATTCTTTTAACTACCTCCCTGACCCCTCACCTTGGCAACCCATTCTTACATCACCTTCAGTAGTGACACTTCTGGTGTCCTGTCCCTACTACCTAATCCTAGGTAGCAGCATTTCTCCTGGCTCCCCCCAGCCTCAAGGTAAGACTCTTCACAGCACTTTCCCTTTGGCCATCTGCTCCTTAGGGCCACTTCCCCTACCCACCTATTAGTGTTCATAGCTCTCTCTTTTTATGGAAAATCTGTGAATCTGCTGCACTGACACAATTCCTCACACTGACTGTTGAACATTTCATTGTGACCAACCTAACTTATCTGACCCTTTACAGGATAGGAGAGGCTGTGGAGTCACAACTGCAGTTAGGAGTCAGAACATTCCAGCTCCTAGAAGAAGGAACACAGTGTTTTAGGCCATTCTGGTATTGCTATAAAGAAATACCTGCGATGGGGTAACTTATAAAGAAAAGCGGTTTAATTGGCTCATGATTCTGCAGGCTTTACAGGAAACATGATATGCTGGCATCTGCTTGGCTTCTAGGGAGGCCTCACGCAGCTTTTACTCACGGCAGAAGGTGAAGCATGAACAAGTATGTCACATGGTGAAAGCAGGAGCGAGAGTGAGAGAGTGGTGGGGAAGGTGGCACACAATTTTAAATGAGTAGATCTCATGTGAACTTAGAGCAAGAGCTCAATTATTACCAAGGAGATGGCCCAAGCCATTCATGAGGCATCAACCCCCATGATCCAAACACTTCCCACCAGGCCCCACCTCTAACAGCTGGAATTACATTTCAAAATGAGACTTCAGTAGGGGAAAAATATCCAAATAATATCATTCCACCTTGTTCCCTCCCAAATCTCATGTCCTTCTTACATTGCAAAACACAATCACACCTTCTCAATCATCCCCCAAAGTCTAACTCATTCCATTAACTCAGATTTCCCAAGTCAAGACTCAAGCCAAGTTTCTTTCACCTATGAGCCTGTAAAATCAAAAACAGGTTATTAACTACCAAGATATGATTGTGTTATAGGCATTGAGTGAACATTGAAACATTCCTGTTTCAAAAGGGAGAAGTTGGCCAATAGAAAGGGACGACAGGCCTCACAGAAAACTGAAACACAGCAGTCACTAAGCCCTGAAGCTCCAAAATAATCTTCTTTGATTCTATGTCCCACATCCAGGGCAACTGATAAGAGAAGTGGGTTCCTAAGGCCTTTGGTAACTCTGCCCCTGTGGCTTTGCAGGGTTCAGCACCCAGGGCTGTTCTCACAGGTATAGTCTTGCAGCTTTTCCAGGCTCAGGGCACAAGCTGCTGGTGGGTCTGCCATTCTAAGATCTGTAGGGCAGTGCCCCCCTTCCCATAGCTCCACTAGAAAGTGCCCTACTGGGGGCTCTGTGTAGCAACTTTAACCCCACATTTCCCCTCCACACTGCCCTAGTAGAGGTTCTTTGTGAGGGCTCTACCCCTGCAGCAGGCTTCTACCTGGGCACCCAGGATTTTTCATTTATCCTTTGAAATCTAGGCAGAGGCTGCCAATGGTTTACTATGTGCACCTACAGGCTTAACACCACATGGCAGCCACCAAGGCTTACTGTGGTACAATTCAGAAGGCCACCCAAGCTATATCTGGGGTCCTTTCAACTGAGGCTGGATCCAGATTGGGCAGGATGCAGGGAACAGTGTCCTGAGACTGCGCAGGGCAGTGAGGTCCTACACCTGGCCCAGGAAACCATTCTTTCTTCCTAGGCCTCTGAGCCTGTGATGACAAGCTGCCATAAAGATCTCCAAAATGCCTTCAAGATCTTTTTCTCGTTGTCTTGGATATTGGCACTTGGTTCCCTTCTGTTTACACAAATTTCTCTAGCAAGTGTTTGCTATAAAAATATTTAAATTATATCACATGGAAATAGTAACCTTTCAGGAAAAAACACATGACAAATATCCTTACTTCAAAAATCATGCATATTCTATGGCGGACGGGAGGCAGGACTGGATTGCAGCTCCAGATAGAGCAGAATATGGAGGCTTTCACTGTGAATTTTAGCTCCAGATCAACTGCAAGAACAAACCAGCAATTTCAGGAGGACCCACAGACCCTTTGAAAGAAGAGGACTCCTCCTGCAGGATCCGGGGGACACCCCAAATACTGTGTGAGTGCCCCAACTACAGAAGTGGGGAAAGAAGACTCTCCTCTACCGAACACACACTCCCACCGGAGAAGCTGAAGGTCTGTTTGTGGGAGAAGTTTCCGACTGTACATGGAGCTAAGTCAAGTTAACCAAGCAAAACACAGGGGTAGAGGAAGCAGCAAAAAGGCCCTGGGTGCTTGCTAGGTCCCCAAACAGCTCATTCTTGCCTGATACCACAGGGATCCATTGGGAGGATGGCCAGAGAGGTTGAGAGTAAAACTCCACAGAGAGAAGGAATTCTCTAGCTGAACTTTGTAACAATTTGAACAGGGTGGGAAGCCTCTTGGCCAGAACTCAGGGGATGGTACAAATCTGGAGTGCAGACTTCACAGGCAAGGGAAGAACTAAAGCCCTTTTTTTCACAGCTGGGAGGTGGACAGCCTCAGGTAAGTTTTCAAGCTTATCTTGCCCTCTGCCTGGAAACAGACTCCCCAGTGTTGGGGTAATGGGTACAGTGGGAGTGAAACTGGCCCTTCAATTTGCATGGGAGCTGGGTGAGGCCTGTAACTGCTGGCTTTCCCTCCACCTTCCCTGACAATCTGCATGACTCAGCAGAGGTAGCCATAACCCTCCTAGGTACACAACTCCAATGACCTGGGAATCTCACCCCCAAGCCCCAGACCTTCCCAAGGAGAGTCTGAACTCAGACACACCTAGCCCTGCCTCCACCTGATGGTCCTTCACTATCCACCCTGGTAGTAGAAGACAAAGAGCATATAATCTTTGGAGTTCTAGGGCCCCACCCACCCCGGGTCCATCTCCACACTTCTATAGTTGATGCTTTCTGAAAAGCACCAGCTCCTGGCAGGAGGCCAACCAGCACAAAAATAGAGCATTAAGCTACCAAAAGCTAAGGACCCTCAAGGAGTTCATTGCATCCTCTGACACCTCTACTGGAAAAGGCGCTGGTATCCATGGCTGACAGACCCATAGATGGTTCACATTACAGGACTCAGTGCAGATAATCCCCAGTACCAGCCTGAAACTGGGTAGACTCACTAGGTAGCTAGACCAAGAAGACAGACAACAATCATTGCAGTTCGGCTCATAGGAAGCCACGTCCATAGGAAAAGGGGGAGAGTATTACATGATAGGAACAGTCCCTAGGACAAAAGAATCTGAACAACAACCTTCAGTCCTAGAAATTCCCTCTGATAGAGCCTATCCAAATGAGAAGGAACCAGAAAACCAACCCTGGTAATATGACAAACCAAGGCTCTTCAACAGAATCCCAATAGTTCACCAGCAATGGATCCAAACCAAGAAGAAACCCATGATTTACCAAAAAAGAATTCAGGAGCTTAGTTATTAAACTAATCAGGGAGGGACCAAAGAAAGGCAAAGCCCAATGCAAGGAAATCTAAAAAATGATACAGGAAGTGAAAGGAGAAATATTCAAGGAAATAGATAGCTTAAAGAAAAAAAACAATAAATAAAATTCAGAAACATGAAATGCTCCATCTCAGCAATAGAATTGAACAAGTAGAAGAAAGAAATTCAGAGTTCGGATATCGAACGATCCAAGATGGTCAATCGCTAACATCTCGGGATTGCGGCTCCCAGTGAAAGCTCAGACAACGAGAGGACGCCACACTTTCAGACAAATTTTGGTCACTCACGGAGCAGAAGATTCCCAGTGGAGGAGCTCCACGGGTCGCCAGCACGACTCTTGTGGCTGGTGCAGCGGTTTCATCGGCACCTCAGCGCAGCAGCTCTCGGTGCAAAGTAAACGGACTGGTTTCCCTTCTGACCGAGGTTTGGAGCTCCAGCAAGGCAGAGTCGCCTATTACGGACTTAAGAAGGAAGCCAGACAGGAGAATCCCAAGCAGAAAAGCACCATCAGTCTTAACGCCGCTGTTTTGGCCGGTGCAGTGGGCTGCTCATATTTCCACCCTGGGAATTAACAACTTGGACGTCCACTCAGAAACCTAATTTGAAAGTTGGTAATCACAAAGACAACAGGTGGATAAATTTACAATGATGGGAAGAAACCAGTGTAAAAAGGCTGAGAATACTCAAAATCAGAACGCCTCTCCCTCTAAAGATGTTCACAGTTCCTCATCAACAAGGGACCAAGACTTGATAGAGAAGGAGTGCATCCCATTAACAGAATCAGGCTTCCAAAGATGGATAATAAGAAACTTCTGTGAGTTAAAAGAACATGTTGCAGCTCAATGTAAAGAAACTAAGAACTTTGAAAAAAGGTTTGACGAAATCCTAATGAGAATAGACAACTTAGAGAGGAATATAAGTGAATTAATGGAACTGAAGAATACAATGCAGGAACTCTGAGAAGTATGCACAGGTTTAAACACTTGAATTGTTGAAGCAGAAGAAAGGATATCAGAGGTAGAAGTCCAACCTAATAAAATAAAATGAGAAGACAAGATTAGAGAAAAAAGGATAAAAAGGAATGAGCAAAGTCTACAAGAAATGTGGGACTATGTCAAAAGACCAAATTTACGTTTTATAGGTGTACCTGAATGCGACGGAGGGAATGAATCCAAGCTGGAAAATATTCTTCAGGATATTATTCAGGAAAATTTTCCTAAACTAGCAAAGCAGGACAATATTCAACCCCAGGTAATACAGTGAACACCACAAAGATATTCCTCAAGAAGAGCAACCCCAAGGCACATAATCATTAGATTCACCAGGGTTGAAACGAAGGAGAAATTACTAAGGGCAGCCAGAGAGAAAGGTCAGATTACCCACAAAGGCAAGCCTATCAGACTTACAGCAGATCTCTCAGCAGAAACTCTACAAGCCAGAAGAGAGTGGGGGCCAATATTCAACATCCTCAAAGAACAGAACTTTCAGCCCAGAATTTCATATCCAGCCAAACTAAGCTTCACCACTGAAGGAAAAATAAAATCTTTTATGAACAAGCAAATACTCAGAGATTTTATTACCACCAGGCCTGCTTTACAAGAGCTTCTGAAAGAAGCATTACACATAGAAAGAAACAACCAGTATTAGCCTTTCTAAAAATATACCAAAAAGTAAAGAGCAGCAATATAAAGAAGAATTTACATCAACAAATGGATAAAACAGCCAGTTAACATCAAATGGCAGTAACCCTAAATTTAAATTGACTAAACCCCCCAATCAAAAGATACAGCCAAAACCCAATGGCATGTTACATCCCAACCCATTTCACTTGCAAGGATACACAAAGACTCAAAACAAAGGGATGGAGAAAGATTTACCAACCAAATGGAGAGCAAAAATAAATGCATAAATTAAAAGCAGGAGTTGCAATTCTCGTATCTGATAAAATAGATCTTAAAGCAACAAAGATATAGTGATAAAAGGATCAATGCAACAAGAAGAGCTAATGATCCTAACACCCAGATACATAAGACCTATAAAGAGACTTAGACTCAATGAGACAGAAAATTAATAAGGATATCAAGGACTCAAACTCAGATCCGGAACAAGTAAACTTAATGAATATTTATAGAGCTCTCCACTTTAAATACACAAAATATACATTCTTGTTAGTACCACATCACACCTACTCATAGGTTTAAATGAAATATTGATTGGCCATTATTAATACCCATTTTTTTTTAGAATAAAGCAACATTTCCCTTCTCTCTCCCTCTTTTTCTTCCTCTTTCTTCCTCTCCTTCACTCCTTTTTTTTCTTTCCTTCTCTCAAAAAAAAAAAAAAAATCAACTTGTAGACCTCTAGATCCAGGTCAGCAATGTCTCTCTCATTGCTCGATTTCCTTCCTTCCCTTCTCTCCCTCCCTCCCTCCCTCCCTCCCTCCCTCCTTTCCTCCCTTCCTGCCTTCCTCCCTTCTTCCCTAAAAAAAAAAGAAAAGAAAAGAAATTCGGAGCTCAAAGACAAGGTCTTTGAATTAACCCAATCCAACAAAGACAAAAATAAAGAGTAAGAAAATATGAACAAAGCCTCCAAGAAGTCTGGGATTATGTTAAATGACCAAACCTAAGAAAAACCAGTTTTCCTGAGGAAGAAGTCAATTCTAAAAGCTTGGAAAACATATTTGGGAAAATAATAGAAGAAAACTTCCCCAACTTGGCTAGAGACCTAGACATCCATATACAAGAAGCACAAAGAACACCTGGCAAATCTATCACAAAAAGATCTTCACCTATGCACAACATCATCAGGTTATCCAAAGTTAAGATAAAAGAAAGAATCTTAAGAGCTGTGAGACATGGGCTGGGTGCGGTGGCTCATGCCTATAATCCCAGCACTTTGGGAGGCCGAGGTGGGTAGATCATGAGGTCAAGAGATCGAGACCATCCTAGCCAACAAGGTGGAACCCCGTCTCTACTAAAAATACAAAAATTAGGTGGGCATGGTGGTGCATGCCTGTAGTCCCAGCTACCTGGGAGGCTGAGACAGGAGAATTGCCTGAACCCAGGAGGCAGAGGTTGTGGTGAGCCAAGATTGTGCCATTGCACTCCAGTCTGGGTAACAGCAGCGAAACTCCATCTCAAAAAAAAAAAAAAAAAAAAGAGCTGTGAGACAGAAGCACCAGGTAACCTATAAAAGAAAACCTATCAGATTAACAGCATATTTCTCAGCAGAAACCTTACAACTTAGAAGAGATTGAGGCCCTATCTTCAGCCTCCTCAAATAAAACAATTATCAGCCAAAAATTTTGTATCCAGTGAAACTAAGCATCATATATGAAGAAAAGATAGTCATTTTCAGACAAACAAATGCTGAGAGAATTCACCGTTACCAAGCCACCACTATAAGAACTGCTAAAAGTAGTTCTAAATCTTGAAACGAATCCTGAAAGCACATCAAAACAGAACCTCTTTAAAGCATAAATCACATAGGACCTATAAAATAAATATGCAAGTTAAAAAGCAAAAGCAAAAAACAAAATATACCAAAGTTCACAGGCAACAAAGAGAATGATGAATTCAATGCTACCTCACATTTCAATACTAACATTGAATGTAAATGGCCTAAATATT